CTCGTGACCGGCATTCTGGCTGGTGATTTGTGTTACCCAGTTGGTGGCGAGATTCAGCATCAGGCTGCAAGGGGTCTGTTCCCTCGGCTACAGGTAGAGATGTGTGCTCGCCCGCTGTAGGGGCTGCGCACACCGAGGGGCGTGTTCAGAGTCAGGGCGGAGAAATGACACGTTTCAGAGTTTACGCGTGCATGGGTAGGGTCTTGTGCCCATCTTAGTGTCCTGGGGCCGCCGTAACAAATAACCACAAAGCGGGGGGCTTAAACCACACAAGCGTATTCTCTCACAGTTCTGGAGGCCAGAGGTCCCAAATCAGGGTGTTGGCAGGGCCGCACTCCCTCCGAAGGTTCCCTCGGGGAAGACCCTTCCTTGCCTCTTGCAGCTTCCGGGAGCTCTGGCGTTCCTCGGCTTGTGGCTGCTCCACCACAATCTCTGCCTCTGCCTCTGCCTCTGCCTCTGCCTCCGCCTCCAAATGGTCTTCTCCTTGTGTGTCCGTGCGTCTGTGTCAGCCTCTCCTCCTCTTCTACAGACACCAGTCAGTCATAGGATTAGGGCCCACGCGACTCCTACGTGATCTTGTCTTAACGTCCTCTTCAAAGACATCTCCAAATAAGGTCACATTCCCAGGTGTACAGGGGTTAGGAGATGGATGCATATTTTGGGATGACACTGTTCAGCCCACTGCAGACCCTCTGCCAGGCAGGTCCCTTGGCCATCAGTGAGGCTCCAGCTCCCCTAGAGGTGCAGTGACGTACCCCACCTTACATTCAGGCACACGAGTGTACCTGGGTCACGGTGAGGCCAGGGGCTCTGCTGAAGGTGGGTGGGGGTCTCTAGTGTTTGGGCGCAGAGCTGTGGGTTTTGTGGACATGCACGGTGGGCCCCTGGTGTCTGTGCATAGGCTTTCCATGTCCCAGGCACCGTGTGACACTTCTTGTGTGAGAATCCTACTGACCACCTCACCATCTTGCCAGGGAGGCACTCCCGGCCCCATGTTGCAGCTGGGGAAACTGAGGCCAAGTGATTACGAACTGGGCTGTGCTCCACAGACACGGGCCATGTGTCCGCTCGGCACCCCCTTCCCCAACAGCCTTACAGCAACCCCGGTGGAGGAGGTTGCATGGTGTCCCCCAAACATATGTCCAGGTTCTAACCCCTAGAATATGTGATGGAAAAAAGGTCTTTGAGGATGTGACTAAGTTGAGTATCTGGAGATGAGATCATCTGGAGTAGGGCGGGCCCTGAATCCAGTGACTTGTGTCCTTCTAAGAAGGCCACATGAGGACAGAGGCAGAGATTACAGTGATGCAGCCACAAGCCAAGAAACACCAAGGATGGCCAAGAGCCACCAATGTTTAAACCGAGATAAAATGCACCATTTTGAAGTGAACAGTTCAGTGGCATTTAGTATATTCACGATGGTGTTGTAGCCATGTCTGGCTAGTTACAGATTTTCTTCACTCCAAAAGGAAACCCCGTCACCATTAGTAGTCACTCCCCGCTCCCCCTACCTCTTCGCTCTTAGCCCCTGGCACCCACTAATCTACTTTCTGTCCCTACGGATTTGCCTGTTCTGGACATTTCATATAAATGAATCATACACCGCGTGGCCTTTTGTGTCTGGCTTCTTTCACTCGGCACGATGTTTTTGAGGCTTACCCGTGTTGTAACGTGAGTCAGTGCTTCCTTCCTTTTTATGGCCGAGTGATACTCCACTGTATGGATGGACCATGTTTTATTTACCCCTTCGTTGTTGGGTTGCTTCTGCCTTTGGGCAGTTACGAATGGTTCTACAGTTTATACATTGGTTTCGTTCTGACGTTCAGTCTCCCCACATCTATCCCTGTCTGCCCCAGTCCTCCTGCCTCAGGAGCCCCTGTGAGCCAGGAATGGATGCAAGAGGCCCTGGGAAGGGCAGGCGTCCATCCTACCAAGGCCAGCAAGTGTAGAGCTCTACCCAGCTGTGGGGCTGTCTGGCCCCTGGGGACGTGTAGCGCCACCACACTGCAGTTTAAAGTGTCCGATGTTTGTGATGTGGCAGGTGCAGGGCAGCGTTCCCAGCAATAGGCTTGGTGCCGGCTGCACAGAGGACCTTGTGGGGAACCCTGGGGCATGTGCTTATCTGTTTGGTGTTTCCTGCCTTAGGGTCCTTTGGAGTTGGGGATGCCTAAAAGAGCTGTGAGCTCTGGATGGTCAGAGGGGCTCCTGAGGAGGAAGGATGCGGGCCCAGATGGAGTGAGAGGGTTGCCACCTGGCCGCCATCCCCTCAGAACCCCTGGAAGGCAGGACATGAGTCAGTGCATCAACAGTAATGACATCCAGCATCACCTGGAGGGAAGCACAGACAGGCCTCTGGCGGCATTCTCAGGGCCCCCTTGTCCACCACTTTGCAGGAGGAGCGTCTGAGATGACGAGGTAGTGACAGCTGTTAGGTCTTGGGCTGGGGTGGAGGTATGTTGTTTTTTGTGCTTGCTGGAATTCAATTTCATTTTCACATGAAAAGAAAGAGGTAATGAGGTGCTCTCTGTGCTTGGGGCGGGGAGGGTGGGGAGAGTGGGTTTCCTGGTATGAGGTTGGGGTTCAGAGACCGCTCACTTGGCCTCAGCTTCCCCTGGGAAGGGGAGATGGTGGCATCTGTCCTGGCTCAGGGGAGCCATGGTTTGCACGTCCTGGGCTTGCTGTGACAAGGACCAGAGACCGGAGTGGGGGCGGGGGGGAGGGAGGGGTGGGGACGTTGGGGCTTAAAACAGCAGGAGTTTATTCTCCCACCGTTCTGGAGGCCAGAAACCTGAAGTCAGGGTGTCAGCAGGCCCTGCTGTCTCTGAAGGCTCTAGGGGAGGATCCTTCCTGGCCTCTCCAGCTCCTGGGGGCTCTGGTGTTCCTTGGCTTGTGACATGTGACCCCAGTCTCTACTTCCGTCTCCACATGGCCTTGTCCCTGTGTGTCTCGTATAAGGACACTTGTCATTGGTTGAGTGCCCCCCCCACAACACAGGAAGATTTCTTCAACCCATGATATCTGTGCCCTTTTTGGGGAGAGGGCTACCCAGAGCGTGGGGTGCCCCTCTGTCCTGACTACGCCAGGCAGATGTCTGTGAGCAGTTGTCCATATGTGAGATCACCCACCACTCCCTAGGCCCCTCAGCCTGAGTAGGGAGAACTTCCTCTCTAAACTCTGTGGGGCCTCTGCACCCCAAGTACCGCCTTCCCAGCTCCATCCAACTGGCGTGTCCCTCCCCATGGTCTCTAGGGAGCCTTCTCCATTCTCACAGGACCCCTCACTGTCCAGATCATTGCAATGGCTTATTTTTGGGTTTGTGTCAGTCTCTGTCCTGGGGGGATAACATGGAGTGTTGGGCCCCACTTTGAACTCAAGTGCCTCTGTCACCCCTGTTATATGGTTCTCCACAGCCCTTCTTTTGTTCTGGAGAATTCCTTTCCTGTTACAGGGGGCATTTATGGGGCTGCTGGCTACCCTGCTCTCCCGCCTTGCCCCCTGTACTTCAGTGTCCGGCCCCACTAGGGGATGTCCTGGGATGGGGGCGGCCCAGCCTTATCCTAGGTTTGCCTGTGCCCGCGTGGACTGATCTCAGCAGAGGGCGCTTTCCCTACCATCCATCTCCCGCTCGGGGGTGCGTGTCCTCTGCACTTCTCCAGAGTAGAGGCTACGCCCTGGCTTGGCCTGATCCTGCAGCACAGTTTAGCTCCTTGCTCTGACGACTGATGATGCAGGAACATCTTTGCGCATAAATCTGTTATTTGGACGATCTCCCTCAGGAGAGCTTCCCAGAAGTGGGATTACTGGGTCAGAGGGCAGGAACGTTGTTCAGGCTCCATACAGACCCTGCCAAATGACTCCGCAGATGCTGCTGACCACCTGCCTGTCAAGATCCCAGTTGTTTCTGCTGTGGCTGATGTGTGCTGGGTGGATCCATGTGCCACCTGGCTTCACCCCTCAGCTCTCAGGTGACGGTGGGAGAAATGGAGACTCAGGAGGGGAGAGTGCCACCCGGGGGGCCCAAGGGCTATGGGAGAAAGACTGGGGCTTGAGGTTTAAGGTGTGGCCATTGTGGGAGGTTCTTAGCATGGGACCTCTGTGGGTCCCCCCCACCCCCCCCGATTTATGTCTAGCCAGAACCTGTGAATGAGACCTTTACGGAGATAGGATCTTTCAGATGTCATCAAGTCAGCATGAGGTCCTCCTGGAGTAGGATGGGCCCTAAATCCAGAGACTGGTGTCCTTACAAGAAGACAAAACAGGGACACACAGGCAGAAGGCCATGTGAAGATAGAGGTCAGGATTGGACTGGCGTGTCTATAAGCCCAGGAACACCGTGGGCTGGCGGCAGCCACCAGCAGCCAGATGAAAGAGGCCTGGGGCAGATTCTCCGTCAGAGCCTCCAGAAGGATCCAATCCTTCCCACACCTTGATTTCAGTCATCTGGCCTCTGGAATGGTGCGGGAATAAATTCCTGTTGTTTTAAGCTCTTTGGTTTGTGGTCATTTGTTACGGCAGCCCCAGAAAACTTGCACAGTGTCCAAGAGTGGGGGTGGATGGAGAGAGCCTCTGGGGTCAGGGTTTCTGCTCTTGGAGAAGCACCCCCTCCCCTGGTGCCCTGCCACCCACATTGTCCTGACACCTCTCTCTCTCCCCCCCGCCCCTCTGTTATTAGGCAAGGAACTTTATTAACCTTGTTCGAAACTTTATTCCCAGGCTTCTTCAGCTTAATTAGCTGTACAGAATGAATTGTGGGTAAGCAAAACCCGGAAAGAGCTGCAGTGTCCAAGCGGTTTGGACTTAAAAATATCAGAGATCTAGATCTTATCAGCACCAGAAAGCAAGTAACAGTAGAACGTAGTCATAACTGGCAGCTCCAAGTAACTTATTTAAGCCTGATCTTCTTTAGAAGTTGACTTGATTGTGTTTGCCTCATTCTCGAAGCCCCTCTGGCCATGAGCCTCCTAGCCCTGTGACCTCCCCGGAACCTCTTGCTGGGCCAGGGCCGGGCAGGCCCTGGGAGGCCGGGAGAGCTTCCAGAAGTCACAGGTGAAGCCAGCTGCTGTTGGCCCTTTGGACGGGGCCTTGATGTGTGCCAGGGTCGGCCGCCTGTCTCCGGAGATGCTGGCCAACAAGGAGCATGCGCCGTTGTGCTGTGGGAACCTGGCGCTCAGACAGATGGGGTGTGGGGTGGCTCTCATGTGCTGGTCATCCTGTCCCCCGTGGGGCAGTCGGCCTCCTCTCCCGTGGACACCATGACGTGGAACCAGGGGGAACAGATAATCTGAAATGTAAAAAGCCACTTCAGCAGTCCAGGGTCATCCATGGCCTCCACCAGATGACGGCAGCAGGCAGCCTGCATGTGCAGTTGGCTCTGCTGGCCGCACTGGGCTTTGCTTTTGGGCCGTGTGTGGACCCCGCAGAGTACCACCCCGTCTCCCACTTGGGGCCCTCACGCCTCCCCTGGGCCTGCCTGGCCTCGTACAAGGCAGAGGTGGGTGAGTGGCACCGGAGCCTCCTGGCCTGCTGTGCCTTGCCCCCTGTGGGTCCGACACTGATGTGCCGCAGCCCTGCAGTCGGTATGTGGGTGAGGGGCTGCGGCGGGGGGCAAGTCGTGCTGCCCAGGCCCTGCTCGCTGGATCCCACCCCAGCCCCGTAGGACGTGGTACCCAGACACAGGCCAGAGGGAGGCATGTGTAGCCAGGGCTGAGCTCTGGTATTGGTCAGTTGCTCCACGTGGTGCGACCCCTAGGATCTCGGGGGGGTGGGGTTGGTGTGAGGTCACGATGAGTGCTCCCACGAGCCGACAGGGAGCTGTGTCTTGGGGATGGGCCCTTCTGCAGCTGCCACTGTGGTGAGCCACCCCTGCCTGGTGAGCCCACTGTGGTATCATCAGCCCCCGAGCCGCCAGCCGGGCATTCACCACCCCTTGTGCTGTCCTGGTCTGGGCTCCAGTGTCGCCCTCCCTGCCCCTCCGCAGTGACTTCCTCCCAGAGCTGACCTGGCCTTGTCTTTTGTCCCTCTCTCCCTGGGCCTTCACTTCTGCCCCTGCTGTTCCCTTTACCCGGACCCTTACTAGCTTGTTCTTTGAGGGTCCCCATGGTCGGCCCTCCCCAACTATTTAATTTTAGGGTCCTCACCTGCCGTGGGCTTGACTCTGATTGGCCCTGCCTCCCCCGGAGCCCCAGTGGGTTAGTTTTCTGGGGCTGCCATAGCAAAGAACCACAAACTGGGAAGTTTCAAACGACAGAAGTTTATTCTCTCACGGTTCTGGAGTCTAGAAGTCAAGATCAAGGCGTGGGCAGGGTTGGATCCTCCTGGGGACCCCGGAGGGGAATCTGTCCCAGGCCTCTCTCCAGCTTCTGGTGGCTGCAGCAGTCCTTGGGGTTCCTTGGCCTATGGCTGTATCACCCCACTCTCCGCCTCCATCCTCATGTGGCCTTTTCCCTGTTTCTGTGTCCTCTTCTTTTTTCAAGACTTTTTAAAAAACTAATCTCCACACACAATGTGGGGCTTGAACTCACCACCCCGAGATCAAGAGTCGCACGCTCTACCGACTGAGCCAACCAGGTGCCCCTCTGGTAGTATGATTTAAGGACCTCCTTAAATCCAGGGTGTCCTTATCTCAAGAGTCTTACCTGATTACATTTGCAAAAACTATTTCCAAACAAGATCACACTCTGAGGTTCCGGGTGGGTGTGAATTTTGGGGGCCACTGGTCAGCCCAGTACAGGGGCTGAGCTGATTCACCTTGGGCTGTTCCTGCTTTGTCACATTCCCTTGTAGCCGCCCAAGATGCTGTCCAGCACTGTCGTCCATCTGCCAGCCCGCAACCCTGGTGAGCAGGTGCATTATTTTGTATTTGGGCAACTCATTCTGGAAATGGTGCCTCGACTTTCCACCCTTCGTGTCTTGGTAGCCCTGTAGCCCTGGAGGAGCACACACTGCTTGTCACCCTCATCTCACTGACTCTTGGGCTCTCCAGGGCCAGGCCCCGAGAAGGTTTCTCCCCACAGGCCCCCCAACCCGGGACCCTTGGGGCTCCTGCTGGGTCATTCCTGGGGCCCCTGGGCTTTGCCTGGGACTGACTGGCTGTCGGTGGTGTTCCCAGAGGACTCAGGCTGAGTTTTCCAGTTCCAGATAATAGCTCTCCCCGGTCACTTCCTGGAGGTAGGCACTCATCCCTGAGGTGCCCACAGAGTCCTGACAAGCAGGACCCCAGCTGTCTGGGCAAGCCGGCCCGCCGGACAGACACAGGCAGGCAACATATCCATGAGAGGGTGCTGTGGACTGAATTGTGTCCCCTAAATTCACATTTATTAGAAGCCTTCATCTCCAGTGTGAGTGTGTGTGGAGATGGGGTCTGCAAGGAGGAAGTGACTAAGGTGAACTGGGGTCATAAGTGTGGGGTCCTGATCTAATAGGACAGGCGTCCTTATGAGAAGCGGAAGAGAGAGTTCTCTCCACCCACACGCACCACAGGGAAAGGCCGCGTGAGGACACAGGGAGAAGGGGAGAAGGGGGCCTTCTGCAAGCCAGCAAGAGGGCTCTCACAGAGACGGCACCCTGATCTCGGACTCCTGGCCTCCAGAACTGGAAGAAATAAGTGTCTTTTGTTTAAGCTGCCCAGTCTGTGGTATTTAGTTATGGTGGTCAGAGTTAATACAGAGGGTTATTTTAGAAGTCGGGGGTCAAGGAGAGCTTCTTGGGGGAAGCGATATTTGAGCTGAAACCTAAATGATGAGAAGGAGCTCCATGGAAGGTTCCAGAAAAGAATGAATTGGGTGCAAGGGTCCGGGGGCAGAAAGCAGGGGAGGGCCTTGCGGGCTGCCCGTGGGAGGTTGAGATTTGCAGGAGAAAGACCCTGGCTTATAACCGAGGCCCCTTCCTCTCGCTGGGTGACCTCGGGACAGGCCCGTTGTGCTTCCTTCAGTGTTTCAGTTCCCCCACTTGCAAAATGGAGGTGAAGCCATGTCTCCCCGTCTCAGAGCGGTTGCAAGTCCCCACCCAGGTCTGGCTCGCGGCCGGCTGGCAGGGCCGGGGTCTCCTTCACAGGGAAAGAGGCCCCCGTGAGCCAGCTGTGCTGCGCGCAGGCCCCGAGAGACCCTTCACACATCCCAGCCGGAACGTCTGTGCTCAACAACCGCCACCAACAAGGGAAACAAGACGTGCTCACAGAGGACCCTCTGATTCAGCCAGGGTTGGGAATTTGGCAGCGGCAAAAGAGCCTGATTAAAGGCATTCCGAGGCGCACTCGGTGTTTGTGTATCTGGGTCTGTATTTACACTTTGGGAACGAGTGAGGAGGCAGCTGGGGAGTGTCTCAGTCGGCCAGGGGGCCGGGGGCAGGGGTGACTCAGCCTGGAATCCACGCTCGGCCACACGCCTGTGACGCTTTCATTCATTCCCTCATTCATTCAGCATTCCCTCCCGCGCCCAGCAGACGTTTGATGAGCAACTCCAGCGTACCAGCACGCTTCCGCGGGGCCAGCCTGGCGCTCCTCGCTGCTGCAGAGCCCTCTCGGCCGGCAGTGGGTGAGAGTGGGGCAGCAGCAGACTTACACAGGAATTAACTCTCAGCGTACCAAAGACCTAAACGTAAGAACTGAGTCTCTAAAACTCCTAGAAGGGAGCATAGGTGTAAATAGTCCCGGACCTGGATAAGGTGATGGGTTTTTAGACAGGACACTGAAAGTATAAGCCACAAAAGAAAAATAGACCAATTGGATTCTGTCAACATTAAAAATGTTTGTGTGTCAGAAGACCACGAGGAAAGTAACAAGTCAACCCACAGAATGGGAGGAAATATTTGCAAACCACGTAGCCAATGAGAGATTAATATCCAGGATATATATAGAACTCTTGGAACTCAACAAGAAAAAGACAGACAGCCTAGTTTTGTTTTGTTTTGTTTAAAGCTTATTTATTTACTTTGAGAGAGATAGAACATGAGCGAGGGAGGGGCAGAGAGAGAGAGAGAGAGAGAGAGAAAATCCCAAGCAGGCTCCACACTGTCAGCGCAGAGCCTGGCATTGGGCTCGAACACATGAGTCTTGAGATCATGACCTGAGCCAAGATCAAGAGTCGGATGCTTAACTGACTGAGCCACCCAGGCACCCCAACAGCCCGGTTTTAAAATGGGCAAAAGACTCAAATAGACGTTTCTGCAAAGGTGATACACAGATGGCCAGTAAGTGCATGCAAAGTTCCACACCGTTAGTCATCGGGGAAATGCAAATCAAAACCACTACAAGAGACCACCTCACACTCATCAGGTGGCAGAAACCAAGTGTTGGTGAGGATGTGGAGAAGTGGAAGTCTTGACCACTACTGGTGGGAATGTAAAATGGTGCAGTGGACAAGTCTGGCAGTTCCTGAACGAGATAGATACAGAATTACCATGTGAACCGGGCACTCCACTCCTAGCTATATACCTGGAGACTTGAATACAGGGATTCAAATAGACGCTTGTGCTCGCCTGTTCAATTCGCAGCAGTGCCAGTCAACAATCACCAAAGGGCAGAAATGACCCAAATGTCCTTCGACAGCTGAACTGGTGGACGGAATGGGGTCCATCTGTATCATGGACTGTAACTCGGCCACAAAAATGAACGGAGCACTGACACGTGCTACAACATGGATAAACCTTAGAAACACTGGGCTGAGTGAGGGCGTCTGGCTGGCTCAGCCAGCGGAGTGAGTGACTCTTGATCTTGGGGTTATGAGTTTGAGCCCCACGTTGGGTATGACATTATTTTTTAAAAAACAAAACAAAAAAACAAAAAAAACGTTGTGTTAAGTGAAAGAAGCCAGTCACAAAAAGCCACGTTATGTGATTCCACTTATGTGAAACGTCCAGAACAGGCAAATCCATAGAGACTGAAGGCGGGTTGGTGGTTGCCACGGGGTGGGGGAGGGAGAGGAGGAGAGGGAATGACAGGCAACGGGATGGAGCCTCCTTTCGGGGCGATGGGAGTGTTCTGGACCTAGATGGAGGTGATGGTTGCGAATGACCTCATATATAACATATAACTGTGTGCCACTGAATCGTACATGTTAAAATGGTTTATTTTACGTTACATTAATTTTACTTCGATAAAAAAGTTCAGGAAGACAGAAAAAGCAGTCGTGGGCCTTCTTGGTTTGGCACCTGTGCGTGCACAGCTGTCTCCCTCAGAACCCCAGGTTTCCGGTCCTTTCCAGAGAGGGCTGGGGAGGCGTGGGGAGCCGTGGGAGAGATGGTGTGTCCCATGGACATGTGACATGAGTGGTCACACTGCTGGTCTCTCAGTGGCCACAGGGCAGGGGCTGAGAGTCCTTGGTTGGAGCGAGCGGCCCTTGGTTCTTCTTTCCGTGGGGTGACTCTGCCTGGGGTGTTTGGAGTCCATCCTCTGTGGCCTCAATGAGGTGTCCACAGCACACGTCACTTGAAATCATCTGTGCAGCGTCAGGGCCCAGGTTGATGAGTGGAGCCTGGGAGGGGCTGTCTGCCCTCCCCAAATTCACTGCCTCGTGCCTGAGCTGAGACTGGGGAGCCTCTTGGGGTCAGGCCTTGGAAGGAACCTGGAGGGACATAGCCACACAGACTGGGGTGTGCACACGTGTCAGGGAGCCGTGACCCCAGAAAACCCACTGGCAGCTCCACATGACTCAGAATCACATCCTTTCATGGGTTCTCGGGGGCTCCGTCCGCATGCCACCATGGCTGCTGGGAGAACCTGCCAAAACTCTGGTCCCTTCGTCTCAGGGAGCATCCCCTACAGGTGGCCCATTCAGGGGCCTTTCTGCTGTTGGCAGCCTTCTGAAGGCTCCACCAGGGGAGGCTTGAGGTGCAGGACTTTGGGCCAGGTGCATGTACCTCCTGGGGTCTTGCTCTGTGCTCTGGTCCCCGAAGTGTCTTGCACTCGAGAAGGCGTTCACTCGCTACCTTCCTCGCGTGGGTGGTTCCTTGCCTGCGCACTTGGGCAGCTGGCCCTTCTCCCTTGGGCCTCAGTTTCCCTGAGAGGGGGCAGGTACTCCCTGTGTGGATGCAGGAGAAAAATCATCCCTGCCTGGGACTCTCAGTGCATCCACCAGCTGTTTCTATACTCACGTGTTCATCCAGACAGCAGGTTCCTCATGTGGATACCAAGCTCCTCCATTGTGCCAGGGTCCTTTGGGGTTGACGGTCTGACGAGAGGAGACAGGCGGTGCTCGATCAGGAGGTTTTGGACAGTGAACTGTGGAGGAGGTGATCCCGTGGAGGTGGCGCTGAGGTGCGTAGTGTTGGGCTGACCCAGTGGAGGAGGAAGTGCCACTGCAAACAGCCTGAGGCATCGTCCTACTTGGCTGGTGGCGAGCAGAGGGCCAGACTGTGCAGGCCTTTTTTTGGTGAGAGGGGGAAACTAAGGTCTGCTCAGAGCACACAGCTCCTCCCTAGCCCTCGGCAGTATGGCCCCCAAGCCTGCTTGGCTTTGCAGGAGGACAGAGGCTCAGCCTTCAGCATGCCCGCTCCCCTTAATCTCATTAGAAGGCCAGCCTGTTGCCATGGCAATTGCTGGGAGGGGTGGTGGGTGGGGGGAGCCAAGGCCAGCTTCATCTAGAGAGAGAGGATGGGAGGGGCTGGCAGGTAGGGGTGCATCTGCATCGTCTGCAGGGCCCTGGAGGCCTGGGGGCTGCCCTGGAGAAGTGTCTGTGTTTGTCATGGCACACCTTCCCAGGGCTCCTGGCCGCCCCCGTTCCCCAGCTCTGTGGCTTCCACTCTGCCAGGGTTGAGGGGAGGCGTCCAGCAGGGGTGTGGGCACGGACGGAGGTGGGGGATGTGCGCGGTGCCCGAGGATCAGCAAGATGGGGCTGGGAGAGGCTGGAGAAGCCACCGTTTACATAGGGCTCTGTACAGGGAATGGGTGTCAGTGTGGGAGAGAGGGGAGAGGACTTTGTGTGGGCTAGTGGAGTGAGGTGTCCCAGGCCCGGGCTGTATCAGGAGGTGGGGGTGCCCTGCCTGGAAACGAGGGGCCCTGGGCTGAGGCAGGACCCAAAGGGGCTTTTTACAGAGAAGTTTGCGCTGGATCCCACCTTGACGGAGTCAGTGTGTGGACTTGCGATTCATGCTCTGACTGGAAGCTTCGAGGAGCTGGTGTGCTCTCATCCACGATGCCACGTGGCCTCTGACACTCCGTGGTGCCAGCCACCTGCTGGTCTGCAGGGTCATGCAGGGGTTAAGTTCCAGGAGTAGAGTCTGTGCCCTCCTCAGTCGCCTCCAAGCTGGGTGACCTCGGACAGTCCCGTTGCCTGCCAAGCCTCACTTTTCACATCCGGAAAGTGGAGTGTGCTGGTGCTCCCCTCAGAGGACTTGTCTTAGGGCTGAATTGTGTCCCCCCAAAAGGTGTGTCTGTGTGTTTATCCCAGAACCTGGGAATGTGACCTTATTGGTAGGAGGGTCTTTGCAGATGCAATTCAGGGGCTCAAAATGAAATCATTTTTTTTAATGTTTATTTATTTATTTGGGGGGGGCATGCAAGCAAGCAGGGGAGGGGCAGAGAGGGAGAGAGAGAATCCCAAGCGGGCTCTACGCTGTCAGGGCAGAGCCAGATGTGGGGCTCGATCCCATGACCATGAGATCATGACCTGAGCCAAAGTCAAGAGTCCAACGCTTAACCGAATGAGTCACCCAGGCACCCCGAGATCATTCTTGATTAGGATGGGGCCTGAATCTGGTGACAGATGTTAGAGAAAGGAGAGGGAGATTTGAGGCAGACACGGGGGAGGCCACATGGGGACAAAGGCAGAGACCGAAGGAATGTGTGGCCACAAGCACAGGAACAACAGAGCCACCAGGGCCTGGGACAGACTCTCCCTTAGAGCCTCAAGAAGAAACCAACCCTGCCCACCCCTTGACTTTGCACTTCTACCCCCTAAACTGTGAGACGGTAAATTCCTATTGTTCTAAGCTACCCTGTTTCAAGCCACCTTGTTTGTGGTCAGTTGTTATGGTAGCCCCGGGACACGGAAGGTAGGACTCGTGTGATAGCAAGTGTGCTGAGACTTGGGAAGGGCTCTGTGCCCATGAGGGGGGCTCAGGAACCCCTGGGGTGCCATCTGAAATGCTTGGAGTGGGCTGAGCACAAGGTAGCTGAGGTCTGCACTGTGCTTCCTGGCCATCCATCGTGGCCCTGCTGGCCTCAGCCCTGAGATACCTCTGACCCCAGGGCCTGATGCTGCTTGGTCAGTTGGTTCAAACCTGAGAGCAAGAGGGTTTGAGAGGCCTGGTCTTGGAATATTGTTCTGGAAGGACCAGTGATGGTGGGAGGTGAGGCAGACATGTGGCAGTACTTACTGGAGGTCCAGCATGATTACACAGAGGCCTGGCACTGGACACAGTGTGACCAGCAGACCATGAGTCTTGGGTACCTGCTGTCTGGTGGAGACCAGAGGGAGTGGTGGACAGGGTCAAGGGCATTTCCAATACAGCAAACACTATTAGATGAATTGGGAGGCTTTACATGAGTGGGGTCTGGGTCATCCAGGGGTGCTGCCCCACTGTCACTTTCTTAATTTTGCCCCAGTAAGGCAGGAGGATGGCTTTTAGGGAAAGCTGGGTGAGGGATGTTGGGGAACTGTGTATCATCTTTGCAGGTTTTCTGTAAATCTAAAGCTTCTACAATGAAAACTTTATTAAAAACAACAAAAACAGGGGCACCTGGGTGGCTCAATTAAGTGTCCGATTCTTGATTTCGGCTTACGTCATGATCTCATGGTTCCGTGGGTTCAAGCTCCATGTTGGGCTCTGTGCTGGCATCATGGAGCCTGCTTGCGATTCTCTCTCTGTCTCTCTCTGTCTCTCTCTCTCCCTCTCTCCTCCCTCCCTCCCCACATACCCTCACTTGCACTCTGTCTCTCTCAAAATAAACTTAAAAAACCAGAGGCTGAGGTGATAGTGACTGGGGTGGGGGGAGGGGGGACAGCTCCTTGAGTGGGGTGTCAGGGAGGCCCTGTGGGATGGGCATGGAAGGGGGGCCATCACAGGCCAAGGCCCTGGGGGTGTACAAACCCAGGGTGCTTTGGGACCAAGGAGTGGGGAGAGCAGAGGTCAGGTTATGGCAAAAGCATGGGTAATGGGGTACCCACACACCCTCAGCCCAGGCTCTCTATATCTGGAATGGGGTCCACTCATAATCGGGGAGCCTGGATTCAGACCCTGGGCTATCTGACCCACAGGCCATAAGCAGGGAGGAACCCTGGGAGATGCAGGTCTCCTATTGTAGCAGGTGGCCTCCAGCGTATGACAGCCTTGTCTGGGCCTCAGTTCGCTGTCTGCACTGCCCTTTTCCAACAGCCATGAGGATGAGGTGGGGGGAGAAGAAGGCATCCAAGCCCTGTTTTGACCTTGAGCCTCTAATAGTTTGGGGAGTTGTGTTGGCCTTCTGAAAAGCCCTATGTGCCTCCAGATGGGCTGTCCCCTGGCTTGTGAAAGGCAGCCCCTGAGAGCAGGAACAGTGGTATTCATTGATTCCCTAACATGTTCGTACACTTGTGTGTTCCATGAGCAGGTGCTGCTGAGCGACAGGCCCTGGCTTGGATGCTGGGTTTATAGAGCTCTTTTGGCGAGGTCGGGGGCAAGTGCCGTTGTGGGGGCACGGAGTGAGGGCTGCTGTGTGGAAGGACGCATGAGAGACTGGCTTGGCAACAGGAAGAGGCATGAGCTTTAACATTCAGCAGTTCATCAGGTCCTGCCTGATGGTTTCACTCTGCTGTTTTTCCTTCCTTTGCACCCTCTGAGGCAGCAGGTCCTTGGGGCAGAGCCCTAGGCTGGCATCTTCTCACCTCAGTACTCTGCTCCTTGGAGTTCCTGGCCAGGCACAGGAGGGCAGGCAGCTCTTGCAAAGTGAGGGGGTCCCCAAGACCACACTCAGGTCAACTGGGAGGATGGACTCAGGATTCACCGGAAGCTGTTAACACTCACAGTTACGGTTTATTACGAGTGAAAGGACACAGATTACAGTCAGCAGAGGGAAGGGGTGTCTGGGGTGGTATCCAGGAGCGTTCCATGCATGGAACTTCCAGTCGTCCCCTCTCTGTGGGGTCGTGTGGACAGCTTGTACTTTTCCCAGCACCAAAGTGTGAACAACACGCATGGTGTACTGCCAGCCGCGGGTGCTCCCCTGAGCCTTGGTGTCCAGGGTTTTTATTGGACTCACAGGGACCTGGCTGACTGCCACATGGGTGACCTCCACGTCTAGTCCTCGCAGAGGGCGAGCTGATTCCACATGGCGCAAGATCCTACATCACACTGTTGGCATAGACCACCCGGTGTGGCCCAAGACCCCAGGCAAACAAAGATAGTCCTGCCAGGCAGGATGTTCAGAGGGCTTCCACCTCCCAGGAGCTGGGGACAAAGGTCAGACTTCTCTAGGCCTTTTCTACATAGCCAATATGCAACCAAGGACAGGCACAAGGCCCCCCAAAGGAAGAGCAGGGCCCCACACAGCTTCTACTCCAAACCCAGAGGCTGTACTCCAAAGCCTGACAGTCCTATAGCAAAGGGGAGTTGGGTGGGGAGGCCACTGCTGGAAAGAAAGACTCAGATAGAGGTGGGGCCTGGAAGGGCTGGTGTTGCAGAAGCATGTGAGTCAAGAGCATCCTGTCAGTTCCCAGTCCTGTAGATCATCCCCAACGCCAGGCTCTCTAGAGGCCTGGAACATGGCAGCTTTGTGGAGTGCTTGGACAGGATGCTAGGGTCCCAGAGCTGGCAGCTCAGCCTGTGACAAAAATGCATGTAGTGTAAGCACTTCTGTGTCACATGCCATGCATTCCTACACACTCTTGGACAACGAGGGAGGGGGAAACCAAGGCCAAGAAGGGGGCTACATGGTTCTTGAGAGGTGGGTGCAATGCAGGCTTCTGCCATAAGGCTCAGACACAAGGAAGCATGTGGAGTGTCTTGGGTCTGAGATGACTTGTGCCTAGGCGGGAGTGGGGGCCCCCTGTATTTAGTCTCCCTCTCCCCCTGGCTGGGGGCTGGCCTGTTTCATCTTGCATGACTGTGGGGTGAGAGGGACACAGCGGGGTATTCACGGTGAGCGTCTCCAGCCACTGGAGACAGACCCTGGGCTGGGCCCCGCAGACCCCAAGAACCACCCGCGAAGGATGGAACAAGGTCATTCTCCCTTCTGACCCCACCACAGCTTGCAGGAAACAGCTGTTTACCTGGGTGAGGTGCTCTGCTGGGCGGGCGGCCAGTTCCTGAGCCTCGCTTCCCTCTCCAGTATCCCAGGCCCCCCAGGAAGCAGGGGCCGGCGTGGGAGAGCGGGGCGGCGCGGGCAGCCAGCTCACGGAGCGCTGCCAGGAGCTGTTTGTGAAGGAACGTGAGCCGGCCTTGTTGTGTACACAGTGTCGACCCTAGCAACCGCCCCAGCCGGGGCCGGAGCAGACGCCCACCCTCCCTGCATGCCCAGCCACCACCCCTCGGACATGACGTCTGTCTCCCAGAGCGGGCGTGACAGGCGTCGTGGACCTTCAGCCTTCAGTCCTGGGGGCCATGAGCGGCACTGACCATGTCAGGGGCATCTGCTGTTATTCCCAGGAAAGTGGAATCGGCTGTTCAAGGGAGACGAGGCCAGGTCCCAGCCTCACTCCGAGGCAGCCACGGCCGGCCAGGGGGCTGGGCTGCTGGTTCTGAGGTGTGGCCCAGTGGGACAGATCCCCACGTGAGTGATGGGTAGAGGCCCGTGCAGGCATTCGGCCATCCCAGATGAAGGCCCTCCACTGGCCCCAGCTCCGGCGAGGCCCGCGAGACAGGCAGATGGAGCCTGGGGGCTTGGGCAGGACCCCTTAGAACTCAGGCGGGGTCTGGCAGACCTGCCTGCCCTGTGTGTGCTGCCGGAGGGATCACACATCCTGCGCTTTGAAAGCCAGGGCTGTGCTTCTGAGACGGCCCCTCTGATTCAGGCCATTGGAAAGACAGTTTCTCCTGTGTCCGGGTGTCAATTCGCAGCCTCTGGCCCGCGCCCCGGGAATGCAGCCTTTGGCTGTGATGAGAAATGGCTCCCCTGGGTGGGTGAGGGGCCTCCTCCACAGGCTGTAGGCTCCAGATCTGCCCGATACTCTCTTGCTCATTCACAAATCGTGCGAGTGAACCAGCAAGGTTCCCCAAGTTCATGGAGGCAGCCCCCCGCCCACAGGGCACACTCCCCTACCTAGGGAGAGCTGCCTGGGGCATCCTGGGTTGCTGATTCTGCCATTTTGGGTGGAGAGACACCTGGCTCCTTTGAGTATCAGAGTCAAAGGGTCCCGCACCCTCTGTGACTGCTGCCGTTGGCCCACCGCTTGGTTCCTTTCTGGGCCCCTGGGGTGGCGCTCTTCATGATTCGCACGGGTGGGCTTCCAGCCCCCACTGTAGCTGCGGGCTTCTTTTGCAGCTCCAGCTCCAGAAGTCTCAGTACCTGCAGCTGGGCCCAAGCCGTGGCCAGTACTACGGCGGGTCCCTGCCTAACGTGAACCAGATCGGGAGTGGCACCGTGGATCTGCCCTTCCAGGTGAGCCCCCACGCCCCCACACAGCCTCCCACCTGGTACGTGTCACATCTGGGCCCCACCCTGGTCACAGAGCAAGAAAGCATGTGTGTCGGCCGCAGTGGATAGCTGGGGTCACCAAATAATTGCCGCAGCCCGCCTCACCCTGCCCCCACCTACTCTTTTCCTGTCCCCGAGATGGCCTGGCCCTTGCCTGTCCCCTGTCAGCAGAGCCCACAGCAAGGCTGTGGTCTGGCCGAGAGTGTTTCGGCAGCCGCTACACCTGTTGGCCGGCTGTGCGGCATCGGGAACCGCTCGGGGCCTCTGGGGCTTGGCTCCATCCTGCCTCACTAATCCGCAAGCCCAGCAATTCTCAGAAGGAGGCCCTGTGGCCTGACCCCACTTGTCTGCGAACGTTTCTTGGCAGAGGCGCACACAACGCGGCTCCCGGAGGCCACACAGCCGCTGTGCACGTCCTTATCATAAATAATGAGAGATAAGGCCCATTGCCTGGGCTCAGGGCTGGCTTCTTACCCCAAGCTCTGCCCTGACCCTGGTCTGCAGGTGGAAGCAGGGGCAAGGTGGGCCTGGGAGCAGGGCCAAGAGCCGGGGCCATCCCCAGCTTGTCTGGGCTCTGTAGGGACAGGTCCATCAGACGGCCACACACCCGCCCCTTTGCTGGGACAGGGCCTCAGAAACAGCCACGTCTGTCCATGTGTTGACAGGCCAGGTGTAGCCAGACTCGTCCCTCATGGAGCTCAGTCCCCCACCCACCCGAGTCACTCCCCAGCTCCTACTCCTCCCACAACGCTGCTGGAGTGCAGCAGGGCACCTGGACTCAGGTTGGGTCCACCTGGCTCAGCTCTGCCTCCCCTGGGCACCTCGGAGCATGACCCTCCTCAGATGGCCTCCTCGCTGGAGCAGACACGTGGAGCCGTTGCGCTGATCCTGAACGTGCTCCAGGAGCCTGACCTCTTTGTCAAGGCCCTTCCTAGTTCGAGTTTTCTCCCCTCTTCCCGCCTCTCCTCTTCCTCTGTTTCCCCCACCCCCTTCTCCCTCAAGGAGAGCATCTCTCTGGGCAGCCCCCCAGTACGGCCCTGCCTAGGGCTGGCATAGAGCCCCCTCGGGCCAAGGGTATACTGGGGCCTGGCGGGCATCCCACTGGGGGGCCGGATGAGGCAGGAGTGTCTCAAAGTCTCGGTTCTTTGCATTTTCAGCCCAGCGGATATCTGGGGGAGGCCCTGGCAGCGGCTCCTGTCTCTCTGGTAAATGAGCCCCTGGGCTGAGGCCTCGGCGTCCCTGGCACGTGCGCGGGTGCTGGGTATCACTGCGTGGTCCCCCAGTGGCCTGGCGGGATGTGTCCTGTCCGCCAAACAGAAGTGGATCCACTCTGCACCTCCCCCTGCCCCGTATGGGGAAGTGCGTGTGGTTGCGTCGAGAGACCCCCGCCTGGGGGATCCGAGCATGGGCATCAATGCTGCATGGTTCGTTCCTGTGACACATGCACACTTACGTGTGTGTGGATCCTAGGTGCAGCCTGGTGAGCTGGGCTGTGGCCGGGCCCGAGCTTCTCTCTGCCTCTGGCTCTGCTTCAGCTGTCTTGGTTTCCCCTCTGGCCTTCTAGGCGTCTCTGGGAGGAGATGAACAGCCCCTGCCCTCTGTTGTTTGTGCCTGGATGGCAAGGTTCCCACCTTCCTTCGGCCACTGAAGTCTCTCAGGCCCAAGGCCCTTTGGCGGCAAAAAGTGTAAAAAGACCCAAGCTGGCAGGGTCCTTTCTGGGTCAGAGAGAGACAGGGGGCCCCAGACTCCAGGGAGAGCAGTCAGCCCTGAACACTGGCTCAGGCTTTTGGACGGGTAGGGAAGAGCAGTGATTCCAGCCAGTGGCAGTCTTCCGGAAGGAAATTGCTTTTGCCTGGCTGCCCAGAGAAGACAGAAGGGCTCAAGGGCCAGATGGCCGGGTGGGGGGACCGGCTGCCTCCGGAGCTGGCTAAGATTGCCAGTCTCGCCCCAGTCAGGTGGTGAGGAGCCCCATGGCACCAGGGAAGGCAGGGAGCAGGCTCCCAGGGGCCCCAGGGGCATGGAGCTGGGAGAGAGAGCAGGGTCTGGCCGGGGGCCTCGTGCCAGCCCCAGGTGCTGGAAGGAAGCCCCTTCCACCAAGCCGTGGGCCAGGGCTCCGGAAAGTGCTTGCACTTGGCTCCAGTGGTAAAGGGATGAGGTGCTGGGGGAGGGCGAGTGGGGGCTTATCTCAATCAAAACCGGCCAGGGCTCAATAAGGAGCCTCTGGGGAGCCAGCACTTGGCCAGGTGGGCCCCTTGACGTCCTCGGCTGGAAGCCCTGGGGGCTGTCTCTTGGCAGGCCCCTCCGGGGATGACGTAGGTGGGGAGAGGAGGCCAGCCGGGCCCAGAGAGAGAAGGCGGAGGCCTGTCTGCACCTGGCGAGGCTGGGGGGCGCTTGGGCCGTCTGCACCCCTGGCACCCCAGCCGGCACCGGGCCCCGAGCTTGTGCTGCTCTGCCTGGCCCGTGCATGCCGGCCGCACTGCACGCCTGCCACCCGGCACCCAGGATCCCCAGCTCGCCCCTACCCTGGCAGTGCTAAAGGCTGGGGGCCCTGGCTGTAGGAGGAAGCCCGTCTGGGCTGCAGAGTGGTGACAACGGGTGTCTCAGGAGCGGGGGGCCCTGAGGTCAGATCCTGGGGGCAGAGCTGGGTTGGATCTTAGGCCACAGCTGATAACTGTTTGGGTTTCTCTCTCTTTTCTGGTCTCCTTCTCCCCTACCCCTCCCCTCGCCCAGACACCCTTCCAGTCCTCGGGCCTGGACACCAGCCGAACCACCCGGCACCACGGGCTGGTGGACAGAGTATACCGAGAGCGTGGCCGGCTCGGCTCCCCACATCGCCGGCCCTTGTCAGTGGACAAACATGGACGGCAGATATCTTTTACCCAGAGGACGGGAGTGGGGGATGACTGCAGGACCCTGAGTCTAGCTGACTGAGCTGCCAGCTCTGGAGATGGAGTAAGGGCTGTCCCAGCCCTCCCAGGCAGCACCAGGAGAGGGCGCAGTTGCAGGGCCACCCTGGAGGAGGCAGGCAGTGTGGCTGGCTGAAGAGCCTGTGGCTGGGGGCTGGGGGGCACACAGGGAACGGGGACACAGGCTGCTGGAGCACGCAGCGTGAGGCGAGGATTGGGTAACGTGAGGTCGGACCACACTGTGTTGGACGTCTGTCTGGGCAGTGGAACCCAGAAAGGCTGTGAGCAGGGTGTCCACATGTTGGGGCCATGTGGAAGGCAGCCCAGCCCAGGCAGTGGGGCTGAGGGGGGTCTGAGCCAGACCCAGACCCATCCAAGGGAGGCTCCATCTGAAGACAGAGAATTCGCCTCTGCACCTTGGCCAAGCAGAGATCGTCAGGAGTTTCTCCCCCACCCCCTAAGACTTGGCCGCCCCTTGGTGCTTGGCCAGCCAGGCCCCCCGCCTCCGACCATCACTGGAGCCTGAGTGGCTGCTCTCGGGACCCCCAGCATTCTAGAACAGAGAAGCCTGTTCTTTCCCGGTTCTCATTTCCATGGCTGGGGCAGCCTGACCAGCTGGGCCTCAGACAGAGCCCTCAGGCCCCGGGAGCCGCCCTGTCAGCCTAGAATTAAGAGTCAAGACCCAGGTCAACTGAACCAGACTCCCCACTGCCCCCCATGGGCCCCAGTTTCACAGCCGAGGCCCCTCTTGGAAAGGGTGCAGCCTGCACGTGTGCTTGCAGGGGGTGAGTGCTGAGTGCTAGGTGGATAGGGCTGAACCCCGGGGGCTGCTCGCAGCCAGGCAGGAAAGGCCCCCGCCCTGCGGCCCCAGCTGTTCACAGGCTCCCAGCAGCCTGGCCACGAGGTTCCTGGGGCTCGGGGTGGGGCCTGAGCCAACAGCGCTGTCCCCTTAACTCACACTCAAGCGGACAGCTGCCCATACGGCACCGTGTACCTCTCGCCGCCCGCGGACACCAGCTGGAGAAGGTCAGTGACCCAGAGCCGGCCCTCAGCCCTCTTGTTGGAAACAAAAACAAACTTACATCATGCTTGTGCTTGGAAAACCAATATGCAGTCACTTTAAGATGACAAAACTAAGAAGTATCCAGAAGTTTCTAGAAATCAGCTCTATCCCTGTAACACCAAGGTCATAGCTTTGGAGTCTTCCAGGAATTTTTTTTCCTCCTTCCATGACTTTTTTTTTTTTCTTTCATAGACAGAGTTGAGATTACATTAGATATTCAGTGTTGTAACTTGCCTTTTTCCATTTCATACTATATTGAGTGGTTTCCCACATTGTTGAACAGTCATTGAAAGTGTGATTATAAAAGTATTCTATATTTATTACCAGAAGATTAGGAATACACATAAATGTACCTGAAAGAGGAAAAAAAAATAATGTCCTCATCTGCAGAGGTCTAGGATAATAGTACCATAGTTAATACCTATAATAAATAATGGGTGATAGGTGCACACCAGTCTGAATACAATTATACCAGAGAAGTGTATACTTAAAAATGGTTAAAATGGTAGATTTTGTGATATATATATCTATATATATGTAGATATATATAGATATATATATAAATATATATGAATGATTTCATTAAACAAAGACCAAAGTAAGCAAACTGTTTAAAAAAGTATGCAATACGATATATAACGTAATGTGTAATTCAGTAACGTAATTAAATTCCTACCAAGCATGTATTATATATCGGGCCATATTTCAACCATCATATTCATTAAGTAACATAAAACACACAGAGCTCTGTGGAGTAGGGGAGCTTTTATTCTCCGCATTTTCAGTATAGAGAAACTGAGCACAGAGAGGTCAGAACACTTGCTCAGGGACACACAGCCGGTAGGGGAGCCAGGATCCAGACCAGCCTCTCACTGTTGGGCTGGCCCCAGGGTCAGAGACTCAGCCAGCCTAGTCCTTTATAGCCTGCTCTTCTCCTTGAATCGTTTCCTCCATGTCACTCTCAGCGGCTGGCATGTCCCTTTTGGATTCATGCTGCTCTTACTTTCATCCCCGGAGTGCCAGCCATGTGGCTGGATCCACCTTTGCTCATCTGCTCAGCTCCCCGCGGGTGCCCACATTTTCTTGGGTGCCTGAGGCGGTCTTCTGGGACTTTCTCTGCAGGCACCTGCAGCTGGCAGCTGGAAGCACATTGAGTTACTCTGTCCCCAGTGCAGAAGGCAGGGCTCCTGGCAGCCTTTGGGCTGGTTGAACCAAGACCTTGCCCCTCAAGTATTGCCTCGTGCCACCTCCCCTCCCCAGAGGCTGCATTCTTTCTGGGTCATTCTCTGAGCCTCATATCACTGCCTCCCCTTCCTGCCTATTACACCTGGTTTGTAACTGATTATCCTCGGGGGCAGGGTTGCCCGTTGGTCTTTGTCACCAGAAGGAGACCCAGTGATGGCCTGGGGACTTGTACCCCCAAGACTGGGCCACCGTGGGACCGTTGGGCCCCCTCTCCAGAGAGTATCAGCAGGAAGGCACTATCCTTTCCCTAAAGCTGAGAAGCCTACAGAGGGGATGGGGGTAGGGAGGAGCTGGTTAGGAACGGAGGGACATCTCTGCTGCAGCTTTTGTCTTCAACAGGCTTTGCAGATCAAAGTAACGGTCACTCCTGTGGTTCTTTTGAGAACAATGTCCTTAGGGTTTTATGCAGGTGCAACAGCTCACAAAAATGACCCACTATTCCCACCCTGTCCCATTGATCATGTCCTGGATAGAGTGGAGCCAGGACTGTCCCATCGTCCGCTTTGGGGCTAAGGCTCACTGTCTCTCTCCTCTCCTCAGGACCAATTCTGACTCTGCCCTGCACCAGAGCACAATGACACCCACCCAACCAGAGCCCTTTACGGGCGGGTCCCAGGATGCACACCAGAAAAGAGGTATTGACGGGCATCGTTCCTTGGGTCAGGCGAGTCCAGTGGGTGGCCCCTATGCTCCCAGAGGTCACAAGCTCAAAGATGGAGAGACCTGCAAAGGAGGAGTCAGTGGGTGCTATGGGACAAGGGGAGGGGTGTGGAAACTTGTAGAGATGGTGCTGCTTGATTTGGGTTTTAAAGAGTTTTCTAGGCAGAGAAAACAGCCTCTGCAAACACTCATGGATTCAGGCCATAGCCCCACAGATGGGGGCCTTCCACGTTCTGTCAGTTGTAGTGGGCAGCAAGCCAAGCAGAAGGAGGCATTTATCAGCTCATGACCAAGCAGTCCGGAGCTAGAGAGGTTCGGCTTTAGGTGCAGCTCTATCCAGGGCTTCACACTTCCTGGCTTTGCTGCTCAGAACCCTCTTGATTCACACAGAATGTGCCCATTCTGCCTACTGTGGGTGGGAAAGGGGCTGCTGCTTTCCCACCTCTTCCCCAGGCTCCTCTCTGACCGAGCCATGCATACACCCCTGGGCCAGATCGGTGCCTCGGCCCCTGGTCTCTCCTCAGGGAGAGCTGGGCACTGGGGCAGTGTCCCCAGGACCTTCTAGGACGGTGCATGCCATCTGAAAAACTGGGGCACCATCACCTAAAGAGAAGGACAGTGCTGTGTGGCCGGCCTCAGGAAACCCCAGCAGGCTTGATCTGCCCAGAGGCACTGAAACCAGACAATTGATCACGTACAGTTAAGGTCCAAACACCCATTTTGGAGTAGCATTGCACTGTGTGAACGTGTAAACATACCAGGGAGCTTCTGCTATAGAGTAAGGATTATCAACCAGAATTTCACCCCTTGGGAGGTGGGGGGGCTCTCCGCATGCCATCTTCCTGGGATCCCTGTTCATCAGACAGCAAAGGTGAGATTGCAGAAGGAACTGTCTCTATAATAAAAGCGAGGATTTCAAATGTCCGGGGGTGAAGAGAACAGGGCATCTGGTGTTTCACTCCTGTTCCCAATGTTGGGAGCTGTTCTTGAAGGGGCTGTCTCCTTGGTGGGTTCCCCAGGAAAATGGGGCTTTCAGGGTAGGCTCTCCAGGGCAAGTGTCATCTCTTGGGACTCTGTGACCATGGAAAGGAGCTGCAACCCAGGAGGCCCTTGGCAGCTCAGGGTCCAGTTGTCCTTGGCCTGGGGAGAGGGGAGACATGTTACCTGCCCCTGTTTCTCCACGAGGGGCCCAAGAAGTGATGGGGGTGGGGGGGGGAGGTGGTTAGCCTGGCTCCCCTCCCACCCCCCCCCACCCCCCCCACAGTTCAGTCTCTCTGGTTTTTAAGAAGGAGGAGTTGACCCATCTGGCTGTGTTCAGTGTGGCTCTATTGAAAGTGAAAGACCGAACGTCCAATAGGTGTAAAGAAACTGGGTCTCATAAAGAAAGTGTTTAATCTCACTTTAACCAAAAGGTCCTAAGAAAGGGGCCTTCAGGCACAGCTGGTTCCAGGGCCTTAAATGATGCCCATCCAGTCCTTCAGACCTTCCCTGCCCTCCGCGCCTCCTCTGGGGCTGGCTGGCATTGCAACTAATTCATGAGGCCACAGCTACCATGAGTAGACCAGCCAGCCCCGGCTCATATTGAGCAGCATGGATGCAGGTGACCACAAAGAGGCAGGTAGGGTGAGGAGGCCGGGAGAAATTCTCTGCTGTTCTCTGCAACCTGAGGCCTCCAGGACCTGCCATGGGAGGCAGAATCAATACATGTCCTCAGCTCCAGAGCTCCTGTTTTCACTTCTTTTTGAATCACAGGGTCTCTGGCTTGTTTTTTGGTTTTTAAGTGTTTTTTGTTTTGTTTTGAATGAAACCCTTTTTTGTGCTCTAGTGCAGTCCCCAGAAGTTACTGTTGGGGCAGTTACACTTGTGTCATGGTTATGACCCTGTGTATGTCAGGGAAGCTCCCCACTTTGGTGCCACATAGCTTCAAACTGAAAAGGTTCTGATTTTCTTTCTCTTCCCACCCCACCGCAGTCTTACTATTAACAGTCCCAGGAATGGAGGAAACCACATCGGAGACAGATAAGAATCTTCCCAAGCAAGCATGGGATACCAAGAAGGTAAGAGTCTAAGGGCTTTCAAAAATGGTTTTCCTTCTTGATCTTTTTTTTAATAGCCTAGCCAAAGGTAGAGAAATAGCACACCTTCCCTGAAGTGTGAACCTCACTCAGATTTGATCAGGCCTGCCATTAGGGTTAAATAGACCTGCTATACTGGTCAGAAGCCATGAAGAATTAAAACTCATGTTCACTGTGGCAGCACCTATACTAAAATTGGAACCATAGAGAGCTTAGGATGGCCTCTGCACAAGAATGACACGCAGATTCATGAAGTGCGCCGTTATTTTTATGTATGGCGTTGGCTATGAACCAGACTTACTGTGGTGATCATTTCACAGTACATACAAATAGTGAACCTATTTGTCCAAGTCTGTGAAGATGCTCAGGGTTTAGAACCTATACCTCCTAATTCTTAGCCTGTGATCTTTCTGCTAACCCATAGTATTGGGTAATTGTCATTGTTTATACATGGTTACAGTCATCCTTAAACTTCCATTAAGTCTACTTGGAATTTTCAGTTGAGTTGAAATCTCTGTATTACCTCCAGGTCCAGAAACAAATTTCCCAGCAACCTATAAAATGTCTAGTGGTAAGATAGAATTTGTGCCATGAGTACAAATTTCAAAGAATTTGAATAGAACAAAATACACTTAACACCAAATCTATTTTGAATATTAAAAAAAAAACAACAAAAAACTAAAACCCATTGCTAGTCAGGGTGTGGTGAAAGGGGCAGCAACATGCATTGCTCATCCCCCCCCAGGAAATCGTAGGGAGGTGACAAATGAACAAACAGTGATGTGTTCCTCAAAGGCAGGTGTTCAGAACTTTCGAAATCAACTGGAAAGAACTTGAATGTTCGACAGTAGGGGGGTTTTATAACTGAGGATGAAAGCATCCTCAGTCCCCCATGCGGAAAGTTCCGCACATGGTGAGTTGGGATTTTTGAAGGAATTTTAAAGGCATGAGTGACACTCATGATGGTACTGTTCTGTGGAAAGAACAGGATAAAGCATAAAACATTTCGAGATAGGCACACCTCATTCTATTGCGCTTTGCTTTATTGTGTTGCGTTTTTTTTACAAATTGAAGGTTTGTGGCAACCCCATGTTGAGCAAGAATATCAGTACCATTGTTCCAACAGCATTTGCTCACTTTGTGTCTCTGTGTCACATTCTGGTAATTCTTGGAATTGTTCATATTTTTTCATTATTTGTTATGTGACGTTTGATTAATGATCACAACTCAAAGTTCAGATGATTAGCATTTTTAGAAATAATTTTTTTAACTCTTTTTTTTTTGAGAGAGAGAGAGAGAGGGTGCAAGTGAACAAGGGGCAGAGAGAGAGAAGTGGGGCTCACCCGGGGCTCCAACTCATGAACTGTAAGATCATGACCTGAGCCAAAGTCAGATGCTTAACAACTGAGCTCCTCAGGCACCCAACTGTTTTGTTTTGTTTTGTTTTTTAATTTATTCACTTTGAGAGAGAACATGAGCAGGGGAGAGGCAGAGAGAGGGAGAGAGAGAATCCCAAGCAGGCACTCCAGTCTCAGCACAGAGCCTGATGCAGGGCTCAAACTCATAAACTGTGAGATCATGACCCGAGCTGAAACCCAGAGTTGGATGCTTAACTGACTGAGCCACCCAGGCACCCCAATAAAGTATTTTTTAAGTTTATTTATTTATTTTGAGAGAAAGAGAGAGAGAGAGAGAGAGAGAGAAAGAGAGAAAACATGAGTGGGGGAAGGGCAGAGAGAAAGGAAAGAGAATCCCAAGCAGGCTCTACGCTGTCAGGCCTATGTGGGGCTCGATCTCACAAACCATGAGATCATGACCTGAGCCAAAATCAAGAGTCCGTTACTTAATCAGCTGAGCCACCCAGACGCCCCAGCAGTAAAGTATTTTAATTAAAGGCACATAACTTGTTTTTTTAAAACACTGTCATTGCATACTTACACTGCAGGATAGTGTAAACATAACTTCTTTGTGCACTGGGAAACCAAAAAATTCACTTGACTTGCTTTACTGTGATATTTGCTTTATTGGGGTGTTCTGGAACTGAAGCTGCAGTATCTCCAAGGTATGCCAGGGTGTACACACAGATGCCTGGGTGTGATAGGACCCGTCCCAGGGGAGACGTGCAAATGGGGCGTGTCCCCTCGAGTGTCAGGTGCGGGCGCCATTGTCAGCCCTTTATCCATGTCTGCATGTTCCAGTTTTGCACAAAGAAGGCATAGGATTTTCATATTCGGGAGAAAAAAATAATTCGAAAAGAATTCTGACAACCCGCACAAAATCGGGAAGCCACTGAAACACCTAGTCGTAGAGAGGTGAGTGGGTAAAGAAAGACATCAGGGTTACAAGCAGCCGAATGTGCTGCTGAACCATGAAGACAGGGAAGATGGTGGGGGTTGGTGCAAACACACTCGACATCCTGGGAGTGAGAAAAGAGGGCGGCAGAGCCCAGCATCATGGCTAAACTTTTAACTACCACGCAAAATGATGTGGCTGCAAGGATGTCAGTAAAGGAATTCCACTGGATTTGTGGGGAGTGGGGTAGGCGGGGGGGGGG